CGTTTGTGTAATTTAATTTGTAAGCTTCTTCAGCTGCTATTTGAAAGTGTTTCTTTTCTGTTTGCAATAAATAGAAGGTGAACATTCACAAACAAACCCCACACAACTGTTAAACTTTTGTGATTCTGTTAAAGTTACATCAAATGCTCTCTTTACCAGTTCATATATTAAATATTGGCTTTCAGTTTCAACTTGAACTGCTGTCTTTGTTCAGGCTGGATTAAACCCAGATAGGTTATCTGGTTTAGTTATTACTGTATTGTTCAAGTGGTGCTTAACTGTGTGTTTTACATTCAAGCATAGAAATGAAGGGGGGAGGGGGAAGGGTTTGATAATTTTACATCTTCATTTAAAAAAAAATCAGAATATTTTTATACCCAGGTTAAAAATTAACAAATCAGAACGTTGGACTTTTAACTCCCTACACAGAGACAGTGTCAGGTTGGTAGTTATTTTAACTACAAGTTTTAAAATGCATATGAAAATATGCTAGCCACTTCCAGATGTAATACTTCAAAGATGCCACATTTATCATAGTTGGCTTATGTCCTACTGCAAACACCGGTGAGATATCTGTCACCTCACGTCCCCAGTTATTACACATGGCTAACAGCACTAATGCAGTCGACAATTTAGGATTTGCAAACACTGGCAAAGGACATTTACTTTTTACATTCTGTGTTGTGCCCTGTTTCATTTGTTGTTTGTGAGCTCTGGCATGAATGAGTTTTTATTAGCAGAGATATTACGGGATGGGGAGAGAGGGTGGTTGTGTCTATAACGACTGCTGCCAAGTAAATTTAGTATTTACTATTTATTATACTTTCACACTCTAATTATTCAGGCCAAAAAGAAGACATGTCATATGACCTAGATCCTAGGGGACTGATTGTACATACCAAATAATGAATAGTGAAGGGAAAAGCTTGGAAACAATTAGTTGGTTGAATTTGGTTTGAATAAATAGTTGGTTAATTTCTAGATGATGATTTGGATTCTGCATCTGCATAGGACTAAAGGAAAGAAGCAAGAACAGCACTCTTCTGTGATGCAGCCTCTGGGAGCTGAGACAGAGGACTAAAACTCCTGCCACACGTTTTAATGTGCTATATCTATATTAGTCTAAACAACTGGGAATGCCATTCCCAAGTGTTCAGAAGTCAGGACATCCTTTACCTCATCCCAGCTGGCCTAGGAATCATAAGGTTCTTAGAAAATACCACCATTATTCATTTGTTTTTAAACTGTTTGGCTGCATATAAATCTTGAATTTAACTTTCCTCTGAAATAACAAATGCAAATCACTTTTGTTTTGTTTTAATTAGGAGTGCACAATTTTACACCTCATTATGGGACTCTGATAGATAGGGCTTGAAAAAACAATAATCCAGGAATTCATCAAGCAATGCAGAATTGATGGGAGGAGGGAGCACTTCCCCTGGCCACTGCCAGGGCTGAGCTGGGTGCCTGCTTGTGCCGCTGCCCGTCAGCATGATTATTATCTATGCTGTACAAGGTAAGCAAACTGAGTCACTGAGTTAAGATCAGAATACAGGAGTTTTGGCTTTCTGCTATATCTGCAGTCTCCTAGACTACACTAGACTATATACTGCTTTCTATAATTACATATACAAATAATATTAGACTTCGGCACAAATCAATATCACCTCTGGACTGGGTCTGGATGAGAATGTTACAGCTTGTCTTTATTCCTGTACCAAGCTGAAAGAAACCCCTGTGCCTCATGACGCCTGAGGCTGGACAAAGGTCCAAGTGGTAAAATTATTGTGCTGTGATGCCAGACTTCTCCAAAACGGGCCAAGTTCCCTTTCCAGAGGTTTCTCAGAGCCTGACTTTTGCAGAAGTTAGCTTTTGATGTCACAGTGACAAGTACTGTGTAAAACCAGAGAAAGTCCGAAAGTGACACAGGATTTTAGGGCACTGCTAAACCTCACAATTCCAATAGTTTATGCATCTGGCAGAAGTAATCATATGGTGCGCAGAGGGCAGGCTGGAATGTTGGCCAGCATTAATGCTATTTTTAGGCATATTAAGGCCCGATCGTTTGCCACCAGAATTAGTGGGAGACTCATCCTGAGTGCCCCATCGTGCTCGGAGATCAAAAGCGGCTTTGGAAAGGTCCACCCTTTCTCCCTCCCCCCAAGTCGTAATTAGGTCTCTCTCTTTCTCTGTCCTCCAGTTGCGGTTGTTCCCAAATTTGCTGACCTCATGTAATTCCTAATTTGACAAGCTGGCTTTTTCTCCCTCTTTTTTTTTAGCTATTTTTGTCATAACAAGTTCAAAACAGAACAGCCTGTCTTTAGAAGCCTCCATTCACAGGAATGTTGGGACATTTCACGCAACAAAACACCGCCACAGAGGAAACCCAGCTTTGTCTCCATGAAAATAAATGCTTGCAAAGGCAGCAAAACAACAGGAGGGGAAGCTGCTTTCTTTTTGCTCCAAACAATTTTGCCAAGAGCACACACAGGAAAAAAAAAAGAGAAAGAAAGGAAAAAAAGCACCTTGGGGAAACAAAAGATGAACTTGTTAATAAGAGATAAGTTATTGGCCTTGCATTTCAGAGGAAAACAAAGATTCTTGGATGCCTTTTATTTATGTAGCTCAAATATTTCCTCCTAAACTCTGTGCTGTGTAAGAGTCAAGCATTCAGTGGCAGGAATTACTAGAATGCTGATGTGTTGGTTTGGATTTTTTTAAGTGGAAAGTGTTGTTTGTTTTGGAATTTGTTTTGCAGTGATTTATTTTTGAACAACTAGAACTATGCTTTTGCTTTGTTTGGCTTTACTAATATCCTTGTTTCCCTATTAACATTCATCCTTCTTCCTAAGTTAGTTGCTTGGTGACTGGTATTACTCTCCATGTAGCTCAGAGTTTAACAGCATTTTTACTACCACCCTATTACAGAAACAGAATCAGTCAGAAAATGTCTGAATTTTTTCTTGTTATTTTTTTCCACTATATCAAAATTAATCCAAATGCTTGACCCAGCTACCAGCTTCAAGGCAGGAGACCCAGCCCTGCTTGGGCAAGGGCTGCTAGTGAAATGGTCTGCTTTTATTGCTGAAACTTACTGGGACAAAAATGCAAGTCATATTCAGACAAAGACCTGGGTGGCTAAAAGAAACTACATCCATCTTGCTGTCCTCTACCAGCATGGTTATGTCACCGATGAGTCAGTAACTAGAACAGTCCTATTAGCAAAAGTCAGCAGTTGTAGCAGCAAAAACTTACACAGTAACAACTCAGCCTTGTTTCAACTTATAATAGCTCAGTGGGAAGGAGAATCACAGTACAGGACCAGTGCAGAGAGCCTTTACTCCAGTGCAGTTACCCATGGTAGCCTATAGCACACGAGGCAAATCAAACCCATAGGCTGATATGCTTCTGCTGATATGAAAGCTGCATGTGAGGCAGACCTGATCCCGTCAAAGTCAATATGTACGTTAATTAAAAACAAAACAAAAAGTAGGATCTTTAGGATATAGGTAGATTCTGGGAATCTGGGAAGTAATGTTTGAACATAGAAGGATTTATGCAGCCAGTAGTTTTATTATCAGCTCTTTAGCTTCTGCATCTAGTGTCCCTGTTAGTCTTTCAGGAGGGAACCAGCTACTATTACACCAAGAAATGCATCACTTTGGATTGTTTTCATGCCTGGGAGAGTGGACCACAGGACTTGTATTTATTGGAGCTGTACTGCTAAAGAGTGTGATGGCATGATAGGAACCCAAGTCAAATCTGAAACCACATTTCCCTTTAACAAGTAGTGGAAGATGTGCTGGATTGCTCCAAAGTTTCCATGGGAATTTTATTGGAACTAGATAGCATGATTCATATGAAGAAAAATCTAGTTTCCTCTCATTCAGTGTATCTTTCCATGTAGAATAGATCTAGCCTAATGCTGGCAAGCAGGAGCATTTGGACCTTGTAATTGCTTATGTTCTGGCTCTATTTTTTTCCCCTTATCCACTTGTACAGAAGATAAGAACAATAAACAGAAAATGGACCACAGGAGAGGAACACTGATTTCATCTTGCCACTTAAGTAATACCAATCTGTTCTGATTTAATGATCAGGGAATAAATGACAACTGGTTGAATCTTTGCAGCACTGCAAACCCAAATAAGTTTTGTATTGTGTTTTGACTTTGAAATCGTGCCCAGTTTCTGTTCAGATTCTTCTAGTGAAACGAACAGATTTCTGTATTATTTCCAATCTGCTTAGGGTTTTCTGTGGAAATGTTTTTTAGTTCTAAGATGTAAGCACACTGTATTTTATATTTTACAGTCTGTGAGTCTGCAAATTGCAAATAATGCAACCCATTGGTGTCATAAAGCCACAAAATACACAACTAAATCCTCTGAAATAAAACTTCATAACACTATAGTATTCTTATGCTGTAGCAGCAGGCTTCTGCCAGTTTTCCTTCTGACATTGTTCCAGAACCTGCTAAAACTCATAAATCAAAGGCCATAATAGCTTCGAAACTCACTGAAACTGCAATGTTTTTTGTTTGCCTTTTTTCTCTCTCTGCTCCTGAGGAAAACATTTAATTAATGTTTTTAACAAATAGGTGAATGGCTTAACGGCTGATCCATTGTTTTTCAGTTACAGAATTGGACCTACTTGTAGCAATACAGTTTATTCTCACAGGCCAGAATTACAGTTTTGGCCTCTTGGAACGTACCTAAAGCCTGAGTCTAGTTTATAACAAACAGATAGCTAAATCAGGAACATCATGACCTTCTGAATGCAATGTAACATGCATCTGTTTGACTGGAAGGATTTTTCAATTGGTCCTCCTGATACAGCAAGGATATGGTCAAGGCTATTCCAAGGTTCCAGCTACCCCCTCTGGATCTGCACTTAACACAGACCCAAAGATGCTCCAGTTTCTCACGTGAATGTGCCGCACCTAATCCAGTTCTAACATGCAGCCCATTCCATGGTTATTCTCTACAACAGAAGCAGATGGACAGCTTGAACTTGGGTGGCTGTAGGTGATGTGGAAGCTCAAGGCATGGGAAGGAAATGATGCAGGCTGTGGGTGAAGTGGGTGTTCTTGTGCCTCCTTAATCAGGCTTCTAGAAAAAGCATTATCACATCCTTCAGATCAGGAGTTCTGAGGGTAAAAATAGACACAAAATCCCAAATGATGTTTGCACATCAGATAAAGTTGTATAAAGGGAGGTGATATTGCTCTGATGGCCATACAGTCTACCTATACAAAGCCAGTCCTACTCTGAAGGCAAAACTGCAACAAAGAGGGTGTTACAGGTTGGCACACGTTAGAACTGAGCTCAGACGTGAGACAGTCATGGATATATATTTCAGCTAGTCCAAGTAAACAGCGAAGCTAAGGTGGTATAAAACACAGAGAATTTACCAGTCTGCATGTTGAAACACTACGGACACTTATTTAGGAGCTTTCACATCACAACTCCCTGCTTCAGAGCAGAAAATATCCTTAAGTATGAACATAAATTCATATTAAACTCTTTGTTTCTTGGCAAAATACTCATCTGGAGTGTTCCTGCCGTGTTTTGATGTGCTAGCTGAATGTGATTTACTAAAGTGTTTTGGAAAACTCGCATCAAAAAAAGAAGATTTTTGCCAAATGATCTCAATCTGCAGCATTTGATATTTAAAATAAAGTTAGCAGTTATTTTGCTAAATCACCACCATTTTATTTAAACCGCTGTGGTAGTGACTTTGGTAAGCCTCATGCTTCAGGAGTCAGGTGATCTCTTGAGACTTTCAGTTTCCTTGTATAATATAAAGCAAACCTAGCCCTCATAGCAGGACAGCTGGAAAATAGGAACCACATAGGTTCGAGATACAAAAGGACAACAAAAATCTCCAAAAATTATAATTTTAAGCATAATCTGTCACAATTCTGCAGGGTCTGACTTACAAATTTTGAATCCTTGAGTTTGCAGTAGTGAAACCAAGGCACATAAAACCTTGTCTGTTTGCTGCCTGGGGGCCTCATCCAAAGTCCGTTACATTCCAAAGGGACTGATTCCGTGGACTTTTCTAGACTTCAGGGGAAAATTAAACCCCCCAAGTACACACAAAAGCTTCAGGCCTCTGGGAGAAGTCCTGTCTCCATCCAAATACCTTTTGGCTTTGGCACAGACAGGGTTCTTCTACCTGATCTGCTAGTGCTATGCTGAACAGGAATGGGTTTTCTGAGTCGGGGTTAAAGTGCACAGATCTCTCTGACACAAATACTGATGCATGCAGCTTTAGAAACTTTGAACTTCTTCTCCAAACATTTGTTCCCTGACTCAGTCACACACATGTTCTCAGAAAGCAGAAGAGATACAAGTAGAGCCAGAGGGAATGCGTTCAAAAATTTCAGCAAATATTAACAGAACGTATTTATTTATTTGCAGTTCCTGTCTGTCTCAAGCATTAGCAGCAATAAGCAAGAGAAATTTCAAGCACAGCCAGCTCCTGATATCATATCTACTTATCATAGTGTTTATTTTTTCCCATCCTTTCCAGCTTAGATTAATCACTCTGGTATACAGATTTAAAATGGACTTTAAATTATGCTTTGCCAACAAAGTGACTATTTAAGGCAGTTCTGTTACCTGAGCTTCATTTTGTTGTATAACAACCCTGTATAACCTTGTATAACAAGAAGTTCTCCCAGCAGTTCTAGCACGCCCTTTTCCTAGCTGGATGTTCTGCATACTCCCAGCATTTTAAATATGTTTTTAAGTATGAAGAGTTTTAGAGTTTTCCTTTTTTTGACTCTTCCTGCCATGTTTGGTGCATAATCGCCTGCAAAACACAGCTTTGTATTGATTGGTCATATTCCTGCTTGCAAACTTATTGTTTAGCCACATCTGTTATTTTCCATATTGGTCATTAATCCCCCATAATTAACTCATGGGAAGCCTGATTTTCTCAGACTTCAGGACTTAACAGAGGCTGTTCCCCATCTTACCATGCTCAGCACCATCCAAGTCCACATCCTAAGAGGGGTACGCTGAGTTCAAGGATGCCTTATTAGTTATGAAACACTATAATTGGGTTTATTGGAACTGATCCTAAAATTGTATATAATCAGATGTGATTAATCTTTTGATGCACCCATGTGTGCAGTATCTGAAGGCTAATGATAACCTAGTCAATCTTATTACAAATCAAAAAGTATTGATCATTTTAAAGAGACTTCCTTGTCCTCAAACTGTGCAAATGAGTCTTTTTCATATAAAATAGATCAGACTTTTATGGACCCAAAGATGGTCTCACCTAACAGATGCATCCGTGCATGAAAATAGGTGTTTTGTCTAAGCAGTACTTGCTGTGGCTTTGTGAGTAGGATTTTCCACTGAGTGCTGCCCTAAAGAATTCCATCTGGTGATCTTCTTGGGAATCTATTTCCTCACACTAAACCCCAGAAGAGTCTTTGGATCTCAAACCCCATAAAACTCAAGAGATGTGAGGATGCTCAGGAGCCCATAATTGTCTCCGGAACCCTTCAAGATCACCTGGCAAGTAATTATGCCCTGATCAAGTCAGCCCAAATTGTTGATTTCCTTATTGCTGACCAGCTACGGTGGCTTGCCACTATAATGCAGGTCTGTCCTGTGCACAACAAACATTGTTCTGATAGTACCAGAGAAGGATACAATGATAACACTGCACACATCACGCAGTAGTAGTCTTTATATCAATACAGCACCTGACCTTGACAGAGACTGAGTCTATATCTTTGCAAAGGCAATTGGTCAGACTCGCTATATAGTGTCAGGTTCTGATATTTAATTAGAATTATTAATGTAGTTAGATTAAAAATAATGGAGGAAATACTCTGCAGGCATAAATATTCATGGCTTGACTGAGTACCAACAAGTTATACTTGTTTACACCAGCCTGGGGAATTAAACAGTTCAATGTAATAAAATATTTCCTACAAAACAGCTTGATGTGAGTACTGTACCACACAGCAGAAAGCAGGAAGAAAGCATGTACAGCAAAACTGCCACAGATTCTAGTGCGACCTCCATCAGGAATAAAGTCAGTCCTTTCCTCCACTGCCAGTAAAGCCTGCTTTTTGGTAAAACTGATGTTTCGACAAGCTAGACCAGGCATTTTAAGCAGAAAGAAATCTCTTTTGTGAATCCCCTTTTCAGTGCTGGGCGAGGAAGCAAATTCCCAAATGGACATGGACTTTGACAATTGTGAGTCAAACAAGAACCAGATGTTTTTACCCTGAGAGTAAGAAGCTGATAATGACAGTAAAAGGAAGAATAAGAGCCAGGAGGGTCACCTGGGTGTACAGAGTGGACAAAGAAATGGCACATCCATCTTGCATCCCCTATGAGTCCTCTGTCTCCAGTGCACCTCTGCCCCCATGCTTCCACACAGGCCGGATCACAAAGACTGACTGTGTCTATTATTTTAATCCACAAACATTTGCGTGAGCACAGGCACATGTGCAAATGGGCTTTTGTTTGGATGCAATACCTGCTTTCATTTTGGAAAGTTAGGAAATGGTCCAGTGTGCTGCAACGACCGGAGCTGGAGCAGGAGGAGAGGATGGTGACTCCTGTTTCCCAGAGTGATCAGCCAGCTATGCATCATGGAGACAGGCACTATTTCCAGATGTAAGACTGCCAGGTATTCAAATGTGGCTTTCTGCAGTGCTGACTGGAAGATACCAGCCAATTTATTCATGAGAATCTAGACTTTTGCTAAAGACTGTGTTCTGACTAATGATAGCATGGGCTTACTGTAATGATTAAGGCTCGAGTTTTCTCACATCTGTGAGGAATGCTTAGACATTCAAGTTTAAAAATAAAAATATCACTCTGGGCAATATTTTAACTTTTTTTTTTGAGGGAGTGTGGGATGATGGGTGGGTGGATTAGATAGTAATCAGTTGAATAAACTCAGCTGAGCTTTGAAAGTTAAACTTCAAGCTACACAGGAAGATTTGCATGGTGGGACATAAAAAGAAGAGTTTGGCTGTGCCTGGCATGATCTGTTTTTATTAAGGTGCACTAATATAAATGCACTTTTATGCAATCATTTTTATGAGATATCCAAGTGCTTTAAAAACATATAAATGACTTAATAATATGCTTGAGAATCCAACAAGTATAATTGATAGACAGGAAACTAAGGCACAGAAGGGTTCAGTTAAGCAGGATTATACATGAGCAAATGCCACTTTTGGGAATTAAGTTAATGAAATTTGTCGTATTGGTTACTGCCAAAGGAGGAGGAAGCATATCCTTCCTAATATAAGTGTCATTGCAGAACATAAACACACACTAACAAAGCACAATATTTTGATGCAATAAGGCATATTTCCCTTTGTTACTCATTTTGCATACGAGCATGCACTGTGTTTGTGCCTTCAGATGTTTATGCTATATTTAGCAGACTCTTTTCTGCCTCTTTCCACACATAAAGATTCAAAGAAATACCTTTCCATAGCATGTAAAGAAGTAACTAATGATACGTTATCGAGGAAGAAGTGTTCTCCTAGAGGAGACAGTTTCCTTTCAGAGACACTAAAACAAAACCTCTGTCGAATTCTTGCTCATAGCTTTGTATCATCGCTTTTTTTACCAAGCTTAAGACTGCACACGCTGACATGAGATTGTACAACGTGCTGTAGTATTTCCACATTCAGCCTGACATTTATTCCAGAAAACTGGGAAGATGTAATTTCTAACCTAAGTGTTTAGAACACAGTTTAGTAGGTCTTTCCTTAGTAGGATTTTCTTTATTATAAAGGTTTTTGGTCTTGGAACTCTACGCATGCTGCAGTTCATTTCACCACATGCATATGAATTTGTTATTGAGGATGCGTCCCTGCCACTGATGCATAATCAGGCTGCTTAAATGTTCTAGTGGAAACAAAATATTCCAGGAATCTTAAACATTTGGTAGAAAGATAGGGTAAAAGAGCTTTTCTAATACCAGTGAAAGAGTGTGGTACACTAAGCATTTCCAGTCAAATAAAAACTATGTTTATGGTGAGTGCAAACTGTGCATTTCCCTTAATAGCACAGCCTTTCCTAAGCCCTGTGGAAAGCCAGGTAATCTTTTAAGTTTGCCAGATGTGGCAGGTCCTTACTAAAGATTGCATTGCACTGTTACAAGCCCTTACTTGTGTTAACTTGTTGTGTTTGAACGCAAATTTGCAAGCAAGTGGAACTTGTATCCCTATCTGTCAATAATTCCTCATCACACTCCACAAAAAGCCACTGCTTTCCTTTCTCCCCGCCCCCTGAATGCAAAATTGCAGTAAATCAGTCAACAGCACTGTTTAGCATATAAAGCAGAAAACTTCAAAGCAAAGCAGCCTTTTCTCTCCACCTATGAAATTCCAGACCATGCTCCTAAATTCAGGGAAATCTACTCGTCCTTTCTACTCACAATTCAGAAAGCCTTGGTAATGCATATTAAAGGGCTGCTGTCAGCTTACATTGTTTAAAAATGGGCTGATTAAAAAAACATTTGGGTAAAGCACCCTTTATATACTGTGCGAGAAACACACTCATCTGGTAGCGCTGCTCTCTCACAGCCCACAGAGGACTGAATTATACCAGCCGACAGCCCGTTCCGAATCGCAAATGTAGTTTTATTGTGTGACTTTATGAATTCCATGCCAGTTTTTTCTCCTCTTTTGCTGGGACTTTTGTTCAGATTTACCCCAAGGAAGCATGCCCACATGTGCTCGATCCCACTTTCCTTCTTTCCACATACCTGCCTATCACCAGATCTTCAGCTTTGTAGCTATTGAATCACCCATACAATTATTTTTCTTTCAAAGTGTAGGGGAAGGGTTGCTCTTGTTCTTACATTACCTTATGTTCATATTTACCTGGTGTAACATAATGTTCTGTTAAAATTCTCTTTCTGTCCCAATAAAAGAAAAAAAGGCCAGGCAAAACCACACCAAACAAAACCCCAGACTTGTCCAGGTTAAATGATACTTCTCTATCTGTGTATTCAATATAGAGGATTATGCTGTATGTTGTCTTATGCAGTGGCATTGGAAAGACATTTCTACCCCTTTCCCACCTCCTCCCCCTGCCATGACCAGACTGCACCACTAATGTTATATAGATGAAAATGTCTATAAGATTGTGTTGTAACCAAGATCACCCAAATTATCCTTTAAAGTAAATTTCCTCCCTGAAGCAAACACACCACCAAGCTATGCCCTGAGAATCCCCTGCAATGTTGCTAACCATCCCTGGGTATAAGTAGGACCCAGTCCATGCTGAATTAGAAGATGGCTATTTTCTGCAGCTGAAATTAATTTCTTTACATGGAGTCAGCATGAGGTCTATGCACTATTCAATAACTGCTGAGCCCTGATGATGTTAAATTTCTTCAATCTTATTTTAACCAGTTAATTAACATGAACGATTTCCTTCCCATTTCGTTGTGTATTTAAGAGGTGCAGGAAGTAAAGGTATCAAGAATTCCTGCAGTTACACCACGGGCTCCTGCTAGTGAACCGCTTAAATCTGGGCTTTATGTCTACATTACATTAACAAACCTCTCATTTGGATACACTGCCCTTTCCCAGGATCTCCCGTGCAGCTTGCCGTATGCCTGATCCACATCACTGAAATCAAAAGAAAAACTCCCATTGGCCTCAATGATTTTGAGGCTGTGCCCTGTGTAAACTGAGAGATGCTGAAAAAATAGAATGATCATTACACTGGAGACCTAAAAGGAACATGTTGCAATACATCTTCTGACAAAAACATTTTCTTTTATTAAATACAATAGCCTCAAAAATCAGTGGTTTAACAGGGACTGTGCTCTTTCACTGCATGCCCAATAAACTCAGCATGGGTCAACCTTCACACACACTTATTCATAGCAAAGAGTACAGTGTTAATCATGATTATCAGTGTAAATAATTCCTACCTGCTACTCAGAGGCTACACAAAATAGCTTTCTGAACAGGATCTGAATTAGCTGGACCATGAAAGCCATAAGTATGCTTTCAGAAGTATTACAGTTGAACAACATAGCTTTGTTTGTGCATTTGGTTGTGAAAGCAAGCTTCGGAAAGTATAAATGATGCTGGGTTTACAAAACTGAGGACATTTAATCCAAATGTGCAGTCTGATGTAGCAGTTAGACCAGTCTAACAGACTACTCTTTCTCATGCCATTTAGCCACTAGTCTAGCTTAAGTGTAATGTTAAATTGCACTTTACTTGCTGCATATTTTAGTCTATGCAAGACAATGGGAAATCAAGATAACTGATGACAAGTAGCTGTAGCAGCACTGCTTCAAGCTCAGGCTGTACAAGTGCCCGGAGTCCATGTTTCAGAGTTCTCAGATCTTTACAGTTATCAGTGCCTAAATTAGCTAATTTAAGTGAGGGTTAGATATGTCAACACAGCCTGCAATCATGCCTTCAACTGCAATAGAGACATAGGCTGTGGGCTGATGTTCAAGGCAGATATAGCTGTAGCAGTTTAAGAAGTTACTGCCTCCGGCTTATTCTCACTGCCCACTGTACAAGGTTCCCCCCTCCCACCAAGGCAGAGGAAAGAGGGTGAAGGTATCTCAGCAGCATCAGCTCTGAGTGGGGTGTCTTTGACAGGACATTATTGCCCCACAACTGGAAGGATGTATGTCCATGCTTAGCATGTCCCGTTGGAGACAGGGCAGGGTCTTATCTCAGGTGACCACTTAAGGTGGGCTTAAGCTAAGCCACTGAAAAGCTGTGGAAGATGCATATATTCCAGTATAGTAATTTCAGCTGCAGAAGCATATTCTTAAATGATTGCAGCAATCTACATTAGATGTTGCCTAGCCATTGTGGTACTATCAACAGAGACTAGGGAATACTGTGTTTATTGGGATTTGCAGGAATTGCATTACACAAAATAAATCAAAGCAGCCCATTTTCAAACTGCACCGGACCAAATAACAAGTCCAAAGGTTCAGAATCCTATCTCTGATGAAACCAAGCTGTCTAGTGATTCACTTTTCTGTCATTCTACACAATACTGCTACTGGTACATTGTCTGTGTGGAGGAAGACACAAACTGCTCTATGAGTCATTGTGTCTGTGCGTACAGCTCTTGTGTGTCTGTCTGTGTCTGTGACAGTAGTGGAATACAGAGTTACTGACAAAGACATCTTAACCAAAACACTTATTTTTAACTACACTACATCCTGCTGCTTACCAGGTTGTCTCACTTCATCATAAAACCAAAATCTGTTTGTAACGAAAGAGTTGCTCTCTCTCCATTGATCTTCTTCCTCAGCTAATTCTGTGCATGCTTTGAAAGAACTCTGAATTATTTTTTCTTTCACCATGTTAAACAGGTACATGAAAGATTTCATTCTCTTTCCCATTATCTTAAGTTGATGGGGTTTTTTTTGTAAGTTATAAATGTTTGCATTAGCAGATGGTGATGTTTTATCCTTCATCATACGTCCTTAAATAGATTAAGTCAATGTTGTCAAACCCAGGGGAATTAAAGAAAAAGTCAGACATGCAGGAAACCTTATGGCCCGTGACAAATCAATACCTATCTTAATCTCCACGAACACTGGGATTTCTACTCTAAGAAACTAATAGTGAGAATTCCTAGTATCTCATCATATTTTGATACTGAGCTATAAATACAGGGTCTTGATTATCTCTCATTTTTGTGGTTCATCCTTTTTAGGAGGAAACTGGATATGAAGTAGCTCCTGTTCACTAAACTAACTGGATGCTACCACTCTACACATGTCCTAATGTGGGTCCAGCCCCATTTCTGAGCAATATTCCATCCCAGAGAAATCCAAATCAGAGGCTCAAAACTTGCTGCTCCCCTATCCTGGGAAGGAGCCACAACGTTGTCAGTTATTCTGCAAGTGGTGCCTGCTCACTAAGCAGTACGTGCTCACCAAGCATCGTCTGGGACAGAAATTCTAGCCCACTCCTTGGTTAGCTCACCAAGTTCCCACGTGCAAGTACTTTGTCACCAGTATCTCACTGCCTTTTGAGCTGGATTGAGACAGATCCACAGCTTGCACAAGCTTGTGCTTTTATTCCCCCCCTATGTCAACATCAAATTGAAACATTTACTCTGCACTGCGGTTAATTGCAGTGGCCACTATTAACTGTTACCATCTGGATTAAAGGCAGAAGCCAAATCTGCATTAATAACTCTTTCCACCTGGAATAAACCATCTGCATTACCCGAGCAGACAGTTTCAGTAGCATCAGTTCTGTTTTGCTCCAGCCATGGGGCTGCACACTTCTGCTCTTTTAAACATCAAGAAGGCAGCAGTTCACAAAGCTGTTGCCAAATGAAATAAAGCAAGCCTTCCCCATGAGTGCAACCAAAGGTAGGAAATGACAAAAATAGGAGAGATATCCAAAGTTTATTTTAACTTTTACGAGGTTTGGACTTCTTTTCTCCCCAGGGTTAGGTGTTCACGGGATTTAGAAAAGGTGAATATTATTGCTCAGTACTTTAAAGAGAGATAAAACTGCGCCTAAGGACAGTTAAATCAAAGACAGATTCCTGTTCTCCTCACCTAATCCTTCTCAGGAGGAGGAGAGAAAAATGCCATGGTGGGTGGGTATTAGGGACCAAACCAGAAACATATTTTCCTATTTTGCCAGATAAAGACCAAAAAGTTCTGACTGAGCAGCTCCGTGCTTTGCAAGATCCTCAAACACTTCCTCACCCACCAGCCAAGGAAGTCCCAACAATTTCAACCCATTGGGTTCCATCAGATTAACAAAGCCTGGCAAACCCAGCCCTCCCAGGTGAAAGTATAGGTGAAAAAATGCAGACCTCCCCTCATCCTAGAAGTAAAGGCTTCTCCTCACCTCAGAAGTCAACATTTACCTGTCATTCAAAACCCTGAATGGTAATATACACTTTGATTTAATAATCAAGTGAAAATAGCCCAAATCAATCTGCTCATCCCAAAACAGCAACAATGGAGCAGCCAAAACTGAGATGCAATTTTGAAATACTTGATGTTTGTAGGGCTAAAAGACCATACAGACACCTTTTATGATGCCAAGTTCTGATCCAAGTTCTCATCTCAAGAAACCTGACCCACATGGTTAATTGTCACCCATGATCCATCGGGCATTAAGGAAGAAGCAGCAGGGCAAATCCATGCCCATTTAGCTGTGAAACCACGAGCATCCAAAGGGGAAATGGATGCTCACAGGGAGGTGCAAGTGCCTTGGTTGTCCTGCTCAAACTCACATGGAGCTGTGAATTACAGCCCTGCATCTTGGGGAAGCTGGAGCTATAAAATACATGCATTTTCAGTTCAACGTGTACTTCTCACGCTGGCCGTCATCGGTGACACACAAAATCTACCAGCTCATTTCTTAGACTTCTTTCCTCCCCCCGCCCTTAAGCAAGGGAACTTTGAAGTAATTTGCTCACGGGCAGTGTGATCTTTAAAGCTTGCTCTGAACTCTGCTCATTCAAGTCCCATTCCTCTGTGAACACTTTAAATACAGCACATAGGTCTTTCTCTCCCCTCCCCAAAGTGACAAACAGTAATGATGGCTTGTGAAATCCAATTTTGCATTTTACTTCAAAGTATTTTATTTCATAAGCTCCTGAAGCTTTTTTGTATTGATCCCAGTTAAGGTCATCTATCTGCCAGTTTCTACTAGTCTTTTCCTCACTGCTGACTGTGGCATGTCTGCCACTGAAGAAAATATGAAACCTGACAAATAGATAGAGCCAGAGAATTTCTGAAGCAGTGTGCATGGCTTTCTGCATCTTCGCCGAAAAACACATACATCCAGGCTTATATAGTTATATATTTTGTGTATATAGAGACAGTTAAAATGCACCTAATATAGGCAGGATAGAAATGAATCTACACTTTAATATATGTTTCTCATGAAACCAGTGTATATACATTTTATAGATGGCCCAGTTTAGACATAGGAAAATATAAACAGCTATCAAACAAACAAACGAAAACCCCACCTATGTGAGTTCAAGCAAGAACAATTTAAAGTCATCTTAGACATGCACTGCCCCAAAACCTGCCAGGATATATAGGAAAAAATCTTTATATAAATTATTACTATGGTCACAAGAGCTAGTGAAGGACCGTACCAAATTGTTCTGACTTCCCAACAAATCAGAATAAAATACCTTTTGAACTAGATGGCAGTCCATTGAATTGGAATTATACATTAGGGCTACATTTACCATGTTTGGCAAAGATTCAGACACTCTAAAGTCACCTTCAGAGACTGGGCATGACCCCCACCTTCAAGAGTAAAGGGTGCAGTAATTTGGGCTGCTTCTTTTGCTTTGTTCTCATGTGTCCTGAGAGTTCCAAAAGGAAACTGCAAAGGCAGCAGCACTTCCACCATGCTGATTTGCTGACGTCCTACTGCTGATAGGAAATTAGCTCGTAAAACAGCCACAGATGGGCCTCCAAGCCAAGGCTTGTTGGGCAGGCAACACCACTGGGAGGGGGCTGAGGTGCAAAGAATCAAACCCTATTCTTCCCAAAACTAGGATCTGAGCTCTGGGGTGCTGGTTCAAGATCTTGTTCTGGTGACTGTGTGGTCACACCTGTTAGAGCTTTATCTCTTTTTGTCTTTCTA